GTCCCCCCCCCCATAGCTAGCAATCCAAAACAGTCCAGTGGAGCCTGAGTGGAGGGTGTTGCCTTCTGACACACTTCCAGTGATGTCAGGGGGTGTGGCATATGCAAATGAGTTATGCAAATGAGTTATGCTAATGAGCTCCTGCACCTCTTTTTCTACAAAATGACCCCTGGAGCCTATTCCCCATAGCTGTTAGGTGGCTTCAGGGAACATGGGTTGGGTCTGGGGAAGCCGGACCCGACTCTCTAAAAATCGTCCCGTGTCGTTCAGCTTTCTTTTTCTGTTGCTCTAGAACCTTCCTTCAAGAGGCCTCCCTCACCCCTGCCACAGTATGTAGGTCACAGTTGCCACACTGGCAGCCTCTCTTCTGTCTGAACAGGATGTTGCTGCGCCTCTCCCCCGCTGAAATAAACATTGGCCTTCAGCTCATTCGCCGCTCTTCTCTTTCGTAGACAGGATATTTATAAATATTCAAGGTGGCGAACACTGGCTCCGTAAGAGAGCGCTGTTTTTGACGAGGGATGTCAGGAGGCTTTTATATGAAACAAGGTTTTGTAACGCAAAAACAGCTTCAAGTTGAAACTGGTACCGTGTACGTCCAGGGGAACCTGACAGCCACGCTTCTCGCTCTGTTGTCCACGAAATGGTAGAATGATCAAGAGCCAGTTTGGTGTCATGGTTAGGAGCACGGACTCTAATCTGGGAGAACCGGGTTTGATTCCCCACTCCTCTACATGCAGCTGCTGTGTAACCTTGGGTCAGTCACAAGTTCTCTCAGAGCTGTTTTCTCATGAGCAGTTCTCTCAGAGCTCTCTCAGCTCCACCAACCTTAAAGAGTGTCTGTTGTGGGGAGGGAAAGGGAATTGTAAGCCACTCTGAGACTCCTTTGGATAGTGAAGGGTGGAGTATAAATCCAATCTCCTCCTCCTCCTCCTCCTCCTCCTTCTTGTATAGTGGCTCTCTGAAGTGGCTTTTGGCCTTCTAGGCAGCATACAGGTGTACTTTTGATGCTTGTTGATAGGGTTGCCAATCACTTCGAGATCTCCCTCTGTTACAGTTAAGAACATAAGAACATAAGAGATGCCAATGTTGGATCAGGCCAAAGGCCCATAGTCCAACACTCTGTGTCACACAGTGGCCAGAAATACCAGGTGCCATCAGGAGGTCCACCAGTGGGGCCAGGACATTAGAAGCCCTCCCACTGTTGACCCCCCCCAAGCACCAAGTTCAGTTCCCCTGGACTATAATGCGATAGAGTCCACCCTCCGAAAGAGCCATTTACTCCGGGGGAAGTGAACTTGGCCATCAGGAGATCAACTGTAACAGAGGCTGAGGTCCCTCCCCAAATCCTGCCCTCCCCGGGCTCCACTCCCCGAAATCTCCAGGCGATTCCCAACCCAGAGCTGGCAGCCTTCCTTCTTGTGCCAAGAAGTGACCTGCGTTGTGCAGTGTAGTCACTGCTGAGAGCCATTGCGATGTAGTGTCAATGCCCCCTCTAAGCTGTGGAGCCTTGTGAGCAAAAAGTCTGCTTTGTGAGCCGCTGGCATCAAAGGTTGTGAGCAGGCGATTTGGCGACTGCATAGATTAGTGCGCTCCGGAGCCCTCCTTCCTGAGCTAAGACTGAAATGTGTGAGCCGGCGGCTAAAAAAAACTGAGCTAGCTCACACTAACTCAGCTTAGAGGGAATACTGGTTAAGAGTGTTGGACTAATATCCGGGAGACTCAAGTCTGAATCCCAACTAATGCAATGGAAGGGGACCTTGGGTCGGCCACGCTCTCTCAGCCTAACCTACCTTACAAGGTCGTTATGAGTATAAAATGGAGGAGAGGAGAATGGGTCCCATTGAGGGAGGAAAGCGGGGTATAAATAAATAAAAAGGGTTTGGAGGATAAATGAATGTTGTTACAGTTCTGGGTTCCATTCGAAAGACTCAAATCTACAGTGCAATGCAAGAATGGCTTGAAAATAGCAGCTTCCCCCCAAACACTGGGGTTTCCCTCGGGAACTGCAAAACACAGAGATAGAACAAGATGAGAGTCAACACAGGCTGACCTTCCGGTATTAAAAATGAAAATTGCTCTCGGCTGTATGGGAGAGCCAGGACCAAGCAAGGCTGTTTTTTAACCTCCCAACCCTGTATTCTCCAGCATTTCCTTTAGCGAAAGCCTTTTAAAAAAGTCATTAAAAATGGTAGTTCCTTCCTGCTACCCCCCCCCCCAAAAGGAAATTCCTTTTTCTAAGGGACTACTTGAAATACGGAGCTGCGGAGGCTCAATGGGTTAAGACGGTGAACTGCAGGCTGTGGAAGGTCAGTAGTTCAGCAGTTCGAGACCCGGGTGCCGCATGATGGAGTGAGCTCCCATCTCTAGTTCCAGCTCCTGCCAACCTAGCAGTTCGAAAGCAAGAAATTGCAAGTAGATAAATAGGTACCACTTCGGTGGGAAGGTAACAGCGTTCCGTGCGCCTTTGTGTTTAGTCATGCCGGCCACATGACCATGGAAACGTCTTCAGACAGCGCTGGCTCTTCGGCTTTGAAACGGAGATGAGCACCGCAACCCTAGAGTCGGATTTGACTGGCTTTCGAGCAAGGGAACCTTTACCTTTACCTTTTTACCTTGCAAAAAAAGACAGCTCTTTAGCTTTAGTGAGTAGGGAGGCAGGGCGGAGTGCAGCGGTAGATGCAAAGAGTTAAAGCCGTAGGCTCATGAATGCGCTAAACAAACTGAGGTTTATTATTAGGAACGTATTATTTACAGTTCGCAATATAAAAGATGTTTCTTTGGCGCTTCCTGCTCTTCCTAGAAGGATCTGGTTAATAGGAAAACCGTGACACCTCTCCCTCTGACGCAGAGTGCTCATAAAACGGAATACTCATAAAAGTTTGTTGATTCCCCAATCTGGAGTTTTGAAATGGAAACCAGAATGTCAAACGAGCCAAAGTTTATCCATCATGTCCAATAGGAGTCTGGTTTTTCACAGGCCCGTTATGCCCTGCAAAGGTCAGTGGGTGCCTGTTCAGTCTCTCTACCG